CTGTCGTTTCTAATATCTGTCTGAATATTGTGTGCAATGTATGTTTGTACAAACAGCATTAACAATATTAATCATAACTATATGCTAAATGAAATTACGAAGGTAAAGTTTATTTTTTAATTAGAAAACTAAGGGATATGCCATGCAACAATTGCAGTTTTTTTGCATTCCGCGACAAACAGTCCATTTTTTATCAAGCAAAAGAATTTCACTAAACTGTGATGACGATAGAAATTCGATAAAGAGTTTCCTTTCTATCGATTAAACCAAAGAATGATGGAGGTACTGGTATGTTATAGAAAAAAAAGACTTCCAATTACTCGTAAATATTTGTTTTCTTTTTTTACAAATTACAACGTAATAGCAAATTCATCGATACAGATTAAATTTCATATATTGTTTATTCCAAACCAGATGTATTTACTTAAATTAATCAGATCTCAATATATTTTTAAACTGTAATTACGCATTTAAGATTCATAGTATATAACAGAGACGAATCTCTTTAATAATACCCATTTTTTGCATACGATTTTAAATAGAAAGTAACATCCAATAGTTTTATTTGAAAAATCATTGAAACTATATTTTTCGAAAGAGTATTATCAATTGCATATTAATTTTCATGTAAAGTGTTTCTCATAGATTACTACCATAGTTTACACATTGTGTATGTATTAATGTATTTATAATCAATATGTATTAATCGGTGTTATTGACAAAAATGACAAAGGGAATTTTAAACTTTCTTACGATCAGTGTCATGCAAATGTTCATATTTCTTCATAGTATTAACATTGGAGTTAACATTTTCTTTAATCTTCCTCAAGGAAACAAGTTCTAAATTTAACAAAATATTGCATTGCAATAAATGCAAGTAAAACTGTCGTATTTTTATTCTATTAACAATCATAGTACTTATCTGTTTAACAGGTAGATGTTACTGTACATCATGACACTGAACATATTGCTATGTTTTAATTGTACATGTGAATCTATAAAGATAATAAGGTGAAAGAAGGTAACTTGCTCTTATTTTTAATTTTATTATAAGAACTTTTATTACGAACAAAAATAAAGAAGAGATTAAATCGTTCGTTAAATGGAAATGTAACTGTTCTTCGCAGTAGTTACCTTTCTACTTTAATACTCCTACTTTTGCTTACTTAGCGCATAGCAATTACTTGTCCCGTTATATAAATCGAAAAGTAAAATAATCTCACATTTACTGCAAGATTAAGAAAATTTAATTGTAACTCGAATATTCAGGAATATTATTATAAAATATTACGTTCCAAGTTATTCCATAGTCCTATTTGAAATTGTGCCAATTACGATTATGTGAAAAAATGTCGTACGGCACAACTAGTGATATTTTTGTGTGATTGCATTACATTTCCAATTGAAATTTTGTACGTTTCGTGCGGTAAATTCACGTACGACTTTTCAGAAAATTTACACGATCCATCTAAGTTCAAATTAAACCTCTTCTATTTTTCTTTAACAATTAAACTCTTTATACGTTATGAGAAATGTTTCGATGTTGAAGATATAATGTTTACCTTAAGTGTGTATACAAAACAAGAGAGAACAGTAATAGACGAATAGATAAATGTATGTATATTTATTTAATAGAGAACAATAAAATACATATGTTTAGATGGAAGATTTATAAAGTAACAAATATGTTATCACAACTATAGATTCGTAACTGAAGGTGACTTAAATGTAAATATATGATTATATATTTATGTAGTAGTGCGAGGAAATAAAGAAAATTCTTGTAAATGTTACATTTAATATTTTACATTTTCATTCTGTATAGTTTTTCGATATTATCTAGATGCAGTGGTGCGACTGATAATTAAAATAAATTGTACTACAGATATCTACATACATGTACTATAATAGTATAGTTTCGCGCAGGCGCGAGCTGAAGTGGGAGCAGCACAGGCAACATAACCAACTGTGTTCAGTTACCATTAATATTTTCTAGTCGACGGTGTACGACAATGATTTAAATATATGCGTACACGTACATAAACATTATAAGCCCTTTCTTTTTTAAATAAGCGGTGATTTTATGCGAACCTTGTTTCGGCATGTCGGTCGATCATAGCGGAAAGGGTTACGCACCTTTGCCGCAAAGCATAAGCAACACGGACACCGAAGACGAGGATGATTGTTTGGCTCGACAAAACGAAGCCTCTAAAGGACATACTAATGATGTATTAGCAGTAAGTTGAAATTGCAAGGAAAAAGTAGATACATTAAATGCGAAATAAAGAACATCGAAATGTTAGTCTTATCAGTTTAAGAGATATATGTATATAATTGTCGAATAAAGAGAAACATGATAATAATGTAAATTTAAAAATTACAGGAAACAACTACTATCCACGAGAACGGGGCGTACTACCCGCTAGACGAAACAAAGAATGTGGCAAATCGTATAAAGAATGGGCAAAACATGCTTAAATATTACAGAGACGACATACCTATAATGGTAGTCGAGGGAAATGATAGCAATGATTTATGGAAACGAAGGGACATGTCTCTGTTTAGACGGTTTTGTTTGGTTACTTCTATACTATTATGTATCGTAACAATAGTCATATTTCTATATGTTTTACCTTGCGATAATTCAGTGGTATGTCCCTCTATCGATGAATCTCAATCGTCTATATCGTGGGATAAAACTTTACGAGGAGTAGGTGAGTTTCTTAAAAGACTTATGCATTAACATAACCCTATCTTAAATTATTGTATAGTTTAGTATAAAAAGTTCTATGCATTGTACTCATAAAAGTATTCATTTCAATTTTCAGAATTACACGGTCCTATTTCTATTATTCATGGAAACCCGTCGAGTCTTATATTCCTCGTTCGTGGACAACGATATAAAGGAAACGATACGAACGAGGAACAGGGACAAATATCAGCGGAAGGAGGAGGAGTAATGTCGATGCAAGGAAATAGTGGTTTACCGTTATGGTTGGTTTCTTTGAAAAGACCACCCACAGAAATTGACTGTATCACGGTTGACACAGACCGATCTGGAAAACCAGATTGTATAGTCGCCGGCGAACAAGGCCTTTTGGCTAGCATCGAACCTATCGCAGGCACTATACATTGGAGTTTAAAAATCCATACGTTCGACAAGCTACCCGTGATCTTACCAGATATCGATTCAGACGGGGTTAATGATTTCTTAAGCGTAGAAGTAGCAACGAAAACTATGCCTAATCTTGTCCTTTTATCCGGAGGAACTGGTCATCTGTTAGGACGATACTGGCCTAAAAACTGTTCATCGATCGATATATACAACCTTGTGTCTAACGAGACCATATCTTACGTCTGCTTGGACGGTAATAAAAGTAAGTATAAAATATCATTTTGAAAACTTCGTACTTCTCAGCTATTCCTATATATTATTACGCTTTATAATAAATAATACGATTTCTTCGCAGATGTGACTAAAACCATGACTTTCATGGGATTATTTCATGCCATGAAGCTACCAGAAGCATATAAGCAATCTGTAATGAAACCAACATTTCGTTTGTTCGAAACATTAAAACTCGACAATGAAAATTATAGTTGGAGGCCTATACCGTATCATTATCTAACTATAAAGAACGACGGATCGTGTCCCGGTGAATTTTGCAAGGCTAGCGTAAATTTAACGTTGCAAAAATCGGGGAATCAACCGGTAATGATTTGGCATTACGATAGTCCTAATACTTTCGTGTCGAAGCCAGCTTTCTTGCTAATGTCCGAGAAACCTTACACTACTGGATTCGCCATTAAATTTTGGCAATGGATCGACACAATGTCCGAGCATACGAAAAAAGTCTCTGGTACAACAGAGAGAAGATTGATAGAGAGGGTATTGATAGTTTACGTAAATTACACGGATGTACAAGTTATGAATGCGAGTCAAAGCGATATCACTCAATTGTGTCAGGGCACGGACTGTCAACCAAATTTGAATTTTAGGGGTCGTTTTAGTTCGATCAAAATTGATTGCATTAGCGAAGGTGGATTTCCAGAATTGATAACCTATTGGTCTTCGTACGACATAGAATCACCGATGGTATTAACGTCCAAAGTCCAAGTCGTAAAATTAGATTCAATCGTGTCTAATTTACCGCGTATAAATGTTTAATGTTACTCGTACGTTTGTTCAGTAGCTACGTTTGTTTGTAGGAATACTAGATGTCCAGTTTTATCATACAAAATTAATGAACAAGAATTAATGAAGTAACAACGAAACGAAACGAAAAACATAATCGTTTCTCAAACATATTTAAGAATATTTATTATTAACGGTGACTGGTCACGAATCAATTAGAACTAGTCAATACATTAGCCGTAACAGATGATTTCGAACGTCGCCTAATTTGTTACTAAACAAGAATTTTTTAAACGATCATTTCCTACCGAGCGGCCATTGTTAACGTCTACATATTTTAAACATATTTTTAACTCTTAACGGTGCCTTGCAAAAGCTATATAGAAAACTCACGAGCAAATAAATAAAATTTAAACGTGCACACTTGCACGTTACTAGAGAACGCGTTACGAATTTTACATGTTTAACAAAGTTCTAAAAAAGGAGATAGCGAAAGTTCCTTTTCTAATATTACTTCGCGTGCGTGAGATTTTTTAAAGTAAACGTATTCAGTTATTCTGAACGAATTGTTTTCCTGAAAAGAGTAGAGCTTATTGCGCACGGAACGCTATAGTGCAGCGTCACAGAGGTCTAATAGCAAATAAAACTTTTACTCTAGTCATGTTTGTATTAACCTTTTTTTTTATCGGAGGTTAAGTACGTTATTGTAATTAAATTTATTAAATGTACGAAAAGTATGATTTCTTCATCCAATGTAACACGCCGCGAAAGTAACCATCGCAGGAATCGCGTTCGATGTAAGGTGAATTAAATTAAGAAGTTTATATCGGGATAAGGAGAAATAAGTATCGATCCTTAAATTTAAACAAAACATACGGAAGTGACTAGAAGGTGAAGGTACGAAGAGAAAAGAAAAAAGTTAGCAGATGTGAATTTAATTTCTCATAACAAGTAGTGGGGATAAGTTGACCGTGGATGACAGAGCGAATCGGTGCGGTCGCATTTCCACGGTGTTGGTTGGTGTAAGTGTTGCTATTCTCAGTAAACGGATGACCTATATGTCGCGTTCGCGATAATTTTCGTGTCAGCTGATCTATACATCCAGTGTATAAGAGGTTGTTCGGGTACACGTGAAAGGAATAAACGCGATATTCGAATCTAACCTCCAATAACCTCCAAGAAGGGAATCGCCTCGATATGCATAACGCGAAGCACCAATAATGTGCGTGTGATAACGTTCCGCGGTCGAGAGACGATGGCTACGGGTAAACGAAGAAGCATGCATACTAATCTCGGCAATTCTGGGACGTTCGGTTCGGCGACGAATAATTTGAGATCAAGCCGTCTGAACTTCCGTCCGAACTCTGCTCAGGAGGACAGAGGCGGTACTCGGCCGACCGCCGCGCCTAGCTCGATAGGTCTGATCTTAGTGACGATGTTTCTACACGTTTGCAAGAAGTCGTTGCTATTCGATACGAGGCTGAAGGTCGCCATATATTGCGGCGCGATATTCGTGGTGTCGTTGATCGCGGACTTCACCACTATGCCCAGAACGTACTTCTCGCGTTCTGATAACGCGCTCAACCAATACTTCGTCAAGTGGGGATGGGGGTGGCTGCTCACAGTAACCGTTCCATGGGTAGCGCTCACTGCGCACACGCTCGGCTGCGGACGTAGATCGATTTTACTGAAGCATCTCGGTAGACTTGGATTAGCAACTATCGCATGGTTGTTGTGGACGAAGTTGTTTCATTACATCGAGACGAATTACGGTAGATGCCTGAACACGAGGGACGTCCAGTTGCAGACGAAAGCTAAATGCCTTCAGTCTGGTAGATTCTGGAGCGGGATCGACATATCCGGTCACACGTTTATTCTGATTTATTCGAGTTTAATTCTAGCGGAGGAAGGATCCTCGTTGATCGGATGGGAGGGTATAAAGGATCTGATTATGAGGGAGGAACACTCGCGAGTCACCCCGAACGAACCTAGCGTCGGACCGCTTCGAAATCTTTCCAATTTCGACCTGGAGTTCTTGAAGAAGGCCCATAGAGCGTTGACGCCTTATCTCAGAGGACTTTTCGTTGCTATGACGTTGCAACAGTTACTTTGGGACATTATGTTGATATCCACGATACTCTATTATCATATTATGATTGAAAAATTCATGGGCGGCGTGGCCGCTATTTTGACTTGGTACGTCACGTATCAATGGTGGTACAGGTCGGCGAAATGCTCTCTGCCACCTCCTGGTGACGGTTTATTTAAATATAACGAGGTAAAGACCCAAGATGGTAGTACAATCAGGTCGAGACGTAACACTCTGAATGGTACAAATAGATTTATCAGATTCCCTATTCGCGTTAGTCAAGATAATATCGATACGAGCAATAGACAAACCGATACCGATGTAACCACTTCGAGGTTATAAACGAAAAATATTTCATTCAACGGGTTTCTTTTCCTTGCATCTATCCAAATTTCTGGTATCTTTCGATGACTTCCTTGATCTAATTATCGGACTGCGGATTTTATGCATTTACAATATTAAAACCATAGATGAAATATAGACGATATATTAGGTTGTCTGTGTAAAGTCCATGCCGATTTTTCGTTGGTACAGGCGATACAGAATATTGCAAAAGCTTTGCTTATCGTTGTTAGTTCTGTCGATTTCTGATTCTGCTTGAACAATAGAATATAGTAGGTTGTCCATAAAGTCCGGCCCTTAAAAGATGGAAAGGTTGTGGGGC